AAAATAAGAATTTGCTTTTAAGTTAAAAAGTGTGCTGCAGGCCAATGGCAGTGCAATGGGCTTTTGCCTTGTAATGAAAAGAAAGCCTCAGAATTTGCTCACTAGGCTGCCTGGGGTGCAGCTCATCCTGGTGCTGGTGAAAGACCAGTGTGATTTCAGAACTGATTGCTTGTGCATCTTGACATATAGAATCTTTTTCTTTTGTTTCAGAAATCTATTGTCTAAGAGAGAGCTGACACCAACTTTTGTTTCTTACTATATGAATCTACAACTTTCCCTTAGAAAGTGGTAAGATGTTTACAAGGAAGGCATGTGTATGTAGGAGAGTGCCAGCAAGACAGGCTTTGCAGAGACTTAAAGGGCAGAATTCTCAACAGAGAGCAACAAAAGAAAGAGAAAGTCCAAATGAGACCAAGGGGAAGATGGTTTTCAAATCGACCTTTCCTTATCACAAGCCAATTCATGACTTCCTGACGAAGACATTTGTCCACCCAACTGTGCTGGTGTTTCTGAATATTCCCATCACACAATAACAATTGTCAACACCTGTCTCAGACACAGGAATTGGGAAAAACCACAAGTGGAAAAGAGACACAAGTGCACAACCAATGTGACCATTTTAGTGACAAAATCGGTCACCTCAGTTAATTTGCTGAATTGAAGGATTAAAAGAAAAGGGCATATGGTGCCTTTGACATAGTATTGGCTGAATAACCATTTAAAAATATAATTGGGTGGTTGACCAAGTAAGAAAAGAGTCATATCTGCTCTTCGTACAGACATTTGGCAAATGTTTGACCCTATTCCCCAAAGAGCTCTGATTTCTTTTTTCCCCACCATTTTGGTCCTTGAAGCTTTAAAATCTCAAAATTAATCCTTAGGATTAGAGGATATTAGGATCACAAGAGAGACTCTGAACCACTGAACAAAGGAGGGAGGGACATAGAACAGAATGATGGAAATTTTCCACCCATGAACTGGACACACCCTCATGCAAACAAGGCTCTTAGGCTAAGGCTATATTTTATAAAAATGTGATAAAACACTTGATAAGCCCAGAGAGGATAAGCAGTGGTTTTGTTTGTTTTTTAATCCTCCAAAATCCAGTACCACAAGCTGAGCAGTTGGAGGGAAAAGCCGTTTGTCATCTCTGTTTCCATGTGTCTATTTCCTTTCTGGAGCCCCAGCAGTTTGAGGAGCTGTCAAAGGCGAGAGGTCAGTGTGTCAGCAGCTCTGATCCTGCATTCGCCCTGGTGCTCACTGCATCCATCTCTGCCCCTGGCTGGCTGGCTCTGACAGGAGGCACCAGGCTGGGAGGTCGCAGGAGGATCTGTCAGGCTCATTTCTCTCCAGCTCTGCAGTTGGCTCTGCGTCACTCAGGAGAGGGCAGAGAGGCAGATGCAAGCCCCTTGGGAGCTTTCACCCTTTGCAGGCATCTCCCAGTGCTCTGGAAAGGGCGCCAAGTGACCCAGTCCCCTGAGAACACTTCTCAGTCCTGAATACATTGCTTCCCTTCTCCCAACACCTCTATGAACCTCTATTTTTATAATCACAATGCTAAAATAAAATTGCTTATGCTCTGTAGCTTAATAGTAAACACGCAAATAATGTCAAAGGTGGTTTTAAAACTCTGGCTATGGGATAACTGCCTTCTTCTCAAAAAGGAGGTGATCCATCTTCTCCATTTTCTTTTGCATTTGACTTTCAACTGCCAGGCCCATGAACAGCCTGCAGCTTCCTTGTGGTTGGCTATATATTATATGTTACTTTGGTGCTTTGCAGCTTTCAAAGAGCTTTTACACAAAAGTGATCTCATTGGGTCCTCAGATAACACGATGTTGGGTAGGGTTGGTGGATATTCTATCACCATTTCTCACAGGGGGAAAGAAAAGTAAATAAGTTATGTAACTTGACCAAGGTCACTCTGCACTTCAGTGGTGGAAATAGATTCCAACAGAGGCATCTCTCTGGAAGTTTTCTTTCTTTTCTTTCTTTTCTTTCTTTCTTTCTTTCTTTCTCTCTCTCTCTCCCCCTTTCTTTCTTTCTCTTTCTTTCTTTCTTTCTTTCTTTCTTTCTTTCTTTCTTTCTTTCTTTCTTTCTTTCTTTCTTTCTTTCTTTCTTTCTTTCTTTCTTTCTTTCTTTCTTTCTTTCTTTCTTTCTTTCTTTCTTTTTTAAATCTATTTCATCACACCAAGCCACCTCTGTGAAGGCAAGGTGCATACATCTTCCTAATTCAACAATCGGGTTGAATAGCTGCAAAATTATAGCCACAGTAGCTAAGCCCATTAGGTGACAACTTTTTCCTTATTTCCATATTCTTTTGTCCCTACCACTATCATCATTTTCCTCCCTACCCAGCATCCTCTATTTAACACTCATAAAAGTAATAACATCCTCTTCTACTCTCTCCTCTCTTCTTTTCTCTCTCCCTTTCTTTTTCTCCCTATGTCTCTCTATCTCCTTTTCCTATCTCCATTTCGCTCCCCCCACACACACTTTTGTCTTTTTTGTTTTTGGTCATTGATTGAGTACTGAAAGTAACCCATGACTGGGATGTAAGAGAACTAAGTTCGAGATATTACAATTTCACATAACCTCTCTGGATCTCTGTTGCTTCATTTGCAAAATTGTTTCTCCTAAAATAATGATTTTTCTACAGGAGTGAAGAACAGAAAAGGAAAAATGTGACTTTTGTGCTCATCAAAAAAAAAGTAAACAGTTAAAAAAAATGTGAGAGCTACTTTGTAGGTTTTCTTATTTTAAGCTACAGATGAAGTGATCAAACCCACATCTTCTGTCTATAAGTCAAATATTTAGTGATTTTATTTTATAGAGATTTTCACTAGCCTCACCAATAAGCCCTTTTCTTAAAAAAATTTTAATTTATTTTTTGGCTGTGTTGGGTCTTCGTTGCTACACGTGGGCTTTCTGACTTTCTCTAGTTGCGGTGAGCAGGGGCTACTCTTCCGGGGACTACTGTTCATTGCGATGTGAGGGCTTCTCCTCGGGTGGTTTCTCTTGTTGTAGAGCATGGGCTCTAGGCACCCGGGCTTCAGTAGTTGTGGCACGCAGGCCCAGTAGTTGTGGTGCACGGGCTTAGTTGCTCCACGGCATGTGGGATCTTCCCAGTCCAGGGATCGAACCTGTGTCCCCTGCATTGGCAGGCAGATTCTTAACCACTGTGCCACCAGGGAAGTCCCAGCCATTTTTAATATGAAATGCCAGGATAGATTATCCAAAATTTAGGAAGGAAAGAAGTGAGAATTGCCTCTTCACTATTATTAATACCTGATAATTTCTCACATTGATGGTGCTTTTTAAACACAAATTAACAGTCAACAAAACAACTCGGGAAGAAGAATGAGATGGTCATTTCAGTGCTCTATTTTTCTGGTTTTCTTTGTTAAACGAAGTGATGGCAGGTGATGGGGGTGATTAAGTACAGACTAGAAATGAGCTACATTTGGACACTGTCTACAATGGTTTTTCCTAGGATGAAGCCCTTATTTAACTTTAAATCCATGGTTCTATAGACTTGTGTTCTCTGAATGCAGCTGTGTAATTAGTAATCATCATTAATCATTTCTACTTCTGTACTTCTATCACCAACAAAATTATAGCAACCTATATTTTTAGTAAACTCTAACTGCAAGTTTAATTTGTTATTTATTTATTACTTTAAGAAGCAGTTTGCCGAACTGCTTACACAATTCTACAATAATGTACCTGAAGATAGAAGTAAAACTGCCCATCAGGAATAAATAGGATTTTCAAAAGAAGAGTATCTGCCTCTCGGCAAAAGGAAGAAAGAAAAAAACCCAGAAAATTAGGCTTCCAGGCTTTTTCTACCTTTAATGTGAAAATGAATATTCACATGGGATGGCTTTAGACTATTAGAAAATGCATATCAGGTAACAGGTGTATAATGTATGGACCTGATTGCTTTAAGCAGAGAAGCTTAAAAATGAGTTTTGCAACTCAGGTTGTTCTCATGAGGCAAACATATGCTAATTATTCAGAATTGAAACCTGACTGTGAAACATAAAACCAAAAGGAAAAGAAACTTAAAGAAACGTTTGAGAAGTAAAATGTCCCACCAGTCAGAAAGATTTTCTTGTCTCTTTCTATGGGAAGAAATTAGGTGATTGTTTATATATATATATATATTTATTTATTTATTTATTTATTTATTTATTTTTTCTGCAGTACACGGGCCTCTCACTGTTGTGGCCTCTCCCGTTGCGGAGCACAGGCTCCGGACGCGCAGGCTCAGTGGCCATGGCCCATGGGGCCAGCCGCTCCATGGCATATGGGATCTTCCAGGACCGGGTTACGAATCCATGTCCCCTGCATCGGCAGGCGGACTCTCAACCACTGGGCCACCAGGGAAGCCCGGTTGTTTATATTCTTGAAAACTCCATTAGATAGTGAGAACTGAGCAGCTGAGATTCTCTTATGGGACAGTACGTAGACATTCCCTGGGTTCCGACTCAGGATTTCCAAGCTTTCCGCGGTGGATAGGTAAATAGATGTATCAGCTGGAGCTGAGAAGCATTCTCTGAGCCAGCCTCAAAATGTGAAGGAGACAGGGCTTATTTCATTTATGAAATTGAATCATTCGTAGACTCAAGGACAAAAGTCTAACAATGAAGATGACTAACATAAAATTATCACTGTCAGACTTACATTATATCTGGAAGAACTGGATTATAAAAGCCAAGTCATGTGTTGTCAAGGGCCTGAGGTTTGCAAGGAAATTCTCTCAAAAAGGCCCATGCAAAAAATGTCCTGAAGTAGAATCTGAGACCTGGTAGCACAAAAGTACCTTGAATGTTCTTAACTGGCAGGGTGAAGACCAGGGGACAGGGGCAGTCTCTAAGGTAGCCACAGCCCTTCAATCACATTCAGGAACTGGTGCTTCGAAAAAACAAACCACCAAAAAGAGTACAGATAAATGTCACAGCAAATCAAGTTAAAACATGGTAAGCCAAACTTTATACTCCTGTAAGACCAAGGAGTCCCAAGGAGAGATACAGTGGACTTTTCAAATGTTCTACAAACAAAGAGCAATGCATCCTTCACTAGCATCTTATTTCCTGATTTTTGTTTTATTTTGTTCTGTTTTGTTAGTATTCATTTTAATGTCTTCTTTGGAAGAGATAGATTTTTCTCCAATTTAAAAAGAAACAGGAATGACCATCTAGAGTAGAATGGATAACATACAGTAGAATTTTGCATGAATCTTAAAAATGTAATATTAAGAAAAACAAGTCACAGAAGAATATGTTTAATATGATTCCATCTGTACAAAGGTCAAAAATAGGTAAAATTAAATAATTTATTTATAGAGATCCATATGTAAGTGGTAAAACTATAAAGAATAGCAAGGAACAGCTAACATACAATGCAGAATTATTGTGTCTTGGAAGGGGGCAATAGAGAGAGGGAGATGTGATCAAGGAGGCATGGGGGAGTAAGGGGGAGGTGTCCCAAATATGGACAATATTCTGTTATTACTTATGTTGATGGTGCATGCCTGAGTGTTAATTTTATTATTATTCTTTAAACTGACCATAAATGTTATCATATACTCTTATAAATGTATAATTTACAAATTTGACTTTTTTTAAAAGAGATGGGTCAATTTTTATCATTTCATTTTGTTTCTTGAAATCCCAGCACGCCTATCTTCTGAAAGTAGCCTTCACCTAGAGAAATCTGTGAAGAAACTCAAGATGCAGGGTTTCCAGACTCGTAAATAATGCAGCCATAGAGCAACAATAAACGAATAAATTAAAAATCAGGAAAAAAAATCACTGGTTGGATGATTTTTAAAAGTCGGCCTCCATATATACTGCCTGTCATGGCCTGACACTCAAGGCCTTTTACCAGTGGAACCCAGTCTTTCTAAAGAGTATTTCCTAGAACTTCCCTGTGAAGCTTCTTTCCTTGTGAAATATGATTCCCTGTGCAAGCCTTACATTTTCCACCCTTGTGCTTTGATGATCTCTTTCCAGTTACCTATATTTCCCACCCTCTTGATGATTGGCCATCACAGTTTGACCTCTTCTGGGAAACCACCATGATAACCTCATAACCTCAGCCTGAAGTGCTCTAGCCTTTTCCTGAACTCTTCAACAACTGCCTATTTAATTTTTCAAGCAGTTAATCTTGTGTGCCTTGTAACACTGGCATTTTCACCAACCAGATTTATTTTCCTCCTTGGCAAGGAGCTGGACTGTATTTCCTGTCCTCCTTTGCAGGTAGCTGTAGCCACGTGATTGAGTTCTGCCCAAAGGAATGCAGATACCAGGTGCGTAGTTCTTCTCCAGGCCCTGTTCTAACACCTCCCACAAAATCCTCCACACTCTCTTTCTTCTCATCAGTGGTTACTTACAGGAACCCGAAGAAGCACTTAAGGCTCTAGGGAATTGTAGGCTCACGTCAGGGGTCATCAAACTTTTTCTTTAAAGGGTCAGATAATAAATATTTTAGGGCTTTGAGGATGTATAAGTTTCCTGTTGCTGCTGCTACTGCTTCTACAACCCTTTAAAAATGTAAAAGCTCTTCTTAGCTTCTAGAATTGGGCTGGGTTTGACTTGGGGGCTGTAGTTTGTCAGCCCCTTCACAGATGAAAAGGTCTTGGATTTCAGAATGCTTATGTAAAGCACAGCCCTCTCCCCCCTACTTCCCCCGCCTCCTGTGTCTGCAACTGACTCACTTGGATTATGATGGGAATGATAACTTTTATTGTGTTTCGCTTTCTCTGAACTACAGCTATGAGACTTTCTATCTCAAATGCAATAAAGAGATAACTATTGGGGGAACTTGAACAAAGTGGAGCTCCAATTTCAAGAAGTCGAGGTCCATTCACCCCCAAATAGTCTTCTTTACTAAAAATGTTGCTTATTCTAGAAGTATCTTGTTTGCTACGCTGCTTTGTCTAGTCCTTGCCTAGGGAACCATCGTGATCAAACAAATCTGCCTAGGCCAGAGCAGACTGCTTTAAAATCACAGCTTTAAAATCCAGCAGAAGAAGTTTCCAAGTTGGAGGAGGATCAAGAGGAGAATCTGGAAGAGTAAACAAAGAAAGAAGATGTGCGCTTCACCACATAAATTGAATCTGCAAAGCATATGGAAACCTCAGGTGTATCTGACTCATAATATTAATATTTTCTCTAAGATCTACAATCTCCCTCCTTCTCTTCTCCACTTTTCTGAAATAACTCACATCTGTGAAGTTTCTTCTTTTTTTATATTTCTCAGTCCCTACTGATGCACAGAACTCACTAGTATCGACAAGCCCAGGCAACCTTTGGTAGCAAGTCAGGGTGGCGTAATGAAAGGTTTGGGGAAAAAACTCCCCACCGCAGTCTGGTTCACTCAAACAGCTTGCCAAGATGATGCGGTTCTCACGCAAAGAAAAAGTGCTCCTTCACCTGTACCAGCAAGTTTCTCCCCCTAAGATAGCAGACTGCATTTGTTTTGACACTGAGTGAGTCGCTCTTTTCTTTCATAGGCTGACACTTGTTCTGTCCCTTGAAGCTGCAAACTACCTCAAGAGCAAGTTTTTCTTTCTACATGTACTGTCTTCACTTACTTACTAATGTGCAAAACTTGAGGGGCACAAAAGGAACAGGAATACCAAGCAAAAAGCCAACAGACTCTGGTACCCGTTCTTGTAATGCACTTCCATTACCAAAGGAAGACGGTCTCTTTTCGATTGTGATGTGAAAAGTAGACAAGTGATAGCTTCCTACATCTGGCTTAGTCAAAGGAAGTTCAAAGCCTTCTCTATATTCTGGATTCCCACCTTCCTATCTCTGAAATTATATTTATAGAGACTATAGAGTAGATCTTAATTCTCAGCAACTACAAACAATGGACTCTGAACAGTTATTTATATGTGAGCTTTGAATCTACCAGCCTCCATTCATTATTTGATGAACTAGTATTAATAAAATATTCACAGCTCATTTGTTAACTCTTCCAGGGAACCAGCATTTCACTCAGACCTCTGAAAATCATCATTGTGCGTTTTAAGAAGCAACAGAAAACTCAACTGAATAAGAACTGACCTCCTTTCTGGCTGCCCTGGTAGATCACGCTTAGTAGCTGCAGTCTTCATGGTGCCTGTCCCCTGGGCCAGGACACCAGATGCCCCATGACTAAGTCTAATGCATCTAGGAACCATAGATGGAGGTGGGGCAGGATGGGGAGAGAGATGACTGACTTTTGCATCCCATCAACGAATGAATGCTGGTCTACTTTGTTTAGACTAATCTAGAAGAACCCAAAGGGATAGAGCAGAATTAACCTTGTGTTGAATGTCCTAATGTCTTTCTTCTAATGCAATTATTTAAAATATAACTCAATAGAAAAGAGCAGCTCTCCTATAAATTTCTTGAAATGTTTATTCATAGGAAGGGTGTTGCTAATTTGATTAATTTTTAAGGATTTGTTAGATATTTTTCCCCCCTGAAATGGATGAATAGATGAGCAGTTTTAAATTTTGAGTATCTTAAGAGCAACATTGGCCCTAGTGAAATTTTGTTTGAGAAAATTCATAGGAAGTTACTGTGAAGCAACCATATTCTTAGAAAGCTTCTATTCAAGGCTCAGTTGGGTCAATTCTGAGGTTATTCTGGGAGTTGGATATATTTGTTCTCTCTCCGAACCACAGTTTCTGATGTGTTATTTTACAAATTCTTGGTCTTTTTCTAAAAACTGACAGGGTTTTGGAAAAGTTAATAATTCAGTGAGTAAAATATGCTTATGTCTGCAAACAACAGAGATGAAACAATGTGCCCCATTTTTACTGTGAATCTTCCTAACGGTATTAAAAATGCAAACCCAAATCTGAAATAGAAAACGTGCAAAAGACTTTAGCCTTTAAATCTTCTCTGCAGGTTTTCCTTATCATACAATGTTTTCAATTTTCCTTGAGGTGAAACAATTTAGAGCCCAGCTTTAGACCACTCTATCCTATACTGCAGAATTTAAAAAGGTTCTTAGAAAAATGTGGCTTCTATGAAAAATAGCTGTATTACACCAAAATGACTATTTCTACATTTTTTCAAACTAATGGAAAGATAAATTTGAGGATGATTCTCTTATAAGTGATACTAATGTCTTTTATGAATGCATCAGTGCAAATCAGATTTGACATCTTGTAAGGAGATATGAGTAGGATTTATCAGGTTTTGCAATGATATTTCAGTTAATCTGGGATGTAGCTGTCAGAACAATAAGAATAGCCTCCTAGTCCATAAAACAATATGCCATCTTCAGACTAAAGATGAATACTGTATTTTAGAACACAAAAAGTTCCGTTTCTTGGGTTGCTATTCCACCTGTCCATAACTCCACAGAAAATTACCTACTAGAAGCTCAAACTCAAGTAAATAATTTGTGAGGTAATACATAAATTCATGGAAAGAAAGGAAATCCTTTCTGCTGGCAGACTTTGCTGTGAGCAGTGCAAGAAGGACTAGCTCTTCTCCCCCTGGAACCCTTGGTTTCCTCTGCCTGGAATCCTCTTTCTCCATCTTTGCATGGCTACCTCTGTCTTGCCTTGGGATCTCAGCTTAAAGGTCACCCTACAACAATCTTTCTGATCACCCAGTCTATGTAGGTGCCCTATTATATAATTGTCCATGTAGCCCTTATAACTAACTGATATTCTTGGGTTTTGTTTAATGTCAATTTCCTTGCACTTGGAGAGCATGAACTTTGTGATATTCATGCTGTAATCCTAGCATCTAGAACACCTGCGAAGGCAGGTGTTATGGGTTGAACTGTACCCCCAGGGCCCCCAAAATATGTCTTGACATCCTAAACCCCAACACCTCAGAATGACCTTATCTGGAATACAGTTGTTGCAGATGTAATTAGTTAAGATGAGGTCATGTGAAGTAGGGTGGGCACTTAGTCCAAAAAGACTCTCTTCTAAGAAAAGGGAAAGACATACCGACAGAGAACACTACGTGAAGACACAGAAACATGGAGAAGATGGTGATGTAAAGACAGAGGCAGAGATTGGAGTTATACTGCTACAAGCCAAGGGACACCTGGGGCTACTAAAAGCTGGAAGAGGCGAGGAAAGGTCCTTCTTTAAAGCCTTCGGAAAGAGCATGGCCATTCCAACACCCCAATTCCCTTTTCAAATGCTGACGGCTCTCATTCCACCCCCTCACACGATGGCCAGATACATGCCTTTAAAATGATACTAAAGAAAAATGGGTTTTTAGCAATAAAGTCTTGTTGTATAGCAAATGGGCTGAAACATATTCTATTGCAGTTTTCTGGTTCAGCTTGAAATAATATTGCTATAATTTCATCAGAAGTACTTATAGGAGGAAAGATTTTTACCATAATTTTGTACTAATGTTACTGTAAATTTGCATGTTTCAGCTAGCATTATTTAACAATTTAAAAATGCATTATATATATATTTTCTTTTTTGCAGCAATAAGAGCATGCCTTTGGGACAATGGATGGAATCAGAGTTGAACTGAAGCCAACTCCAGTTTTTTAAGGAAAAATTTTCATGACACTTCCAGGTGGGCAGATTCAAAGACAGCATGAATCAGTGTCAAAATGATAAAGGAAATACTCTGGGTTATTAATTCCCAAAGTCTGCATGACCAAAATAGTAATAGCTCAGAAACACAAATTCAACATGTATGCATTGTCGAAACTGATGTTTAGTGATTCCTTTTTTAAAAATCTGAAATCACTTGAAAATCAATCATATACACGTGTGTGTGTGTGTGTGTGAAACCACTAGCATTTGGGAACTGAAAAAGTTTATGATGAAATCCTTAGAAAGGCTATAATAGCCAGTGACTCCATTTATATCAAGTATATCTTCATAAATCAGTGGGAAGTGTGTTCACTTATTCCTCGGTGCCATAAGAGCAATTTCTTTAGCAGGCATATTATCCTATAATTGCAGTTTTCTCTCTGTCTCATCTGGACACAATACATAGAATTAAGTAAAAAGAAACAAAGGGATGTACTGAAAACAAAGATCAGACTTTGTTGGGGGTCATGTGCAGGGTCTGAGAGCATTTCCTGTCTCATAGGAAGCATTCACATCATGACTTGTCATCTATACTGTCTAGCCCACTGTCTCCTAATTTCCTGGAATAAAACCAAACTAAGCAAAACAATAAAAATGACAATTTTTCTATGTTTTGGAATTCCAAACTCTTATTACTGGAATGCTAAATCTTTCAACCCTACTGGCTATTGTGCCGTCCAAAATTAACAGTGGTTTTTAATGGTTTGTTTTTTAAAATGTTATGCTTCTATGTATATCCCATAAATTATAACAACTTATTTTGAATATTACTCTAAAATTCTGCAAAATGTTGGTTTAGTACTCAAATCAACCTTTGTTTTTACTTCTGCAAATGGTTTGAACAAAACTCATTCTCCCTTAAATATTAATTGGGTTTTAGATGTAGGCAAATGACTGGAAAGTGAGTAATAGGAAAACAATCCTTAGTTTCGTCTGTGAATTTGCCATTCTTCCCCTCTACATGTTCTTGCTGGTCTAATGGTTTCTAAATCTGGTCCATATTTTATCTTTTTCTTATAAAAGAAACCATCCCGTACGGAAACAGGGTTATATTTTATCAGTACCATCACCACCAACTACATCACCATCACCACTTTTCAATTTGCAGAAAATTCAGCGTTATCTGCCAAGTTGGCAATACGTCAAAAGTGCATAGATTGCTTTAATGAGAATAATTTCTTCCATTGTAGATGAATTTTAGGGACTCGTGTCAGGTGTGGGAGAGCTTCTGTGTCATAAGCTTTCACATCGCACAAATTAGTAGGATGGTCCAGGTACAGAGGCTTGAAGAAATCAACAAAAAACTCTGCTTTTCAAACCAAGTTGATTAATTTTAGGATACCCTTGGGAATGTGCAACCATGAGCGAGGTGTCCCTGGAGTAAAGGGTCAAACATGAGCTGCAGGATGGGTTGAGGTGAGTGTGGGTCAGTACGTGTGTGGTAGAGGTTTGGCTAGTACACAATTTAATATCTATTTTTAAAAGAAACTCAGATTCTGGAGGCAAATGCAAAATTTTCGTAAAATTTTAGGACAAAAATGTTCTGTCCTATTTTCTGTTTGGAGCAAACATTCGTAGAGAGTACAAATTCATTTAGCTTAAGGAGAAGCATTTCAGGTTTATCCAATCCAGTGTCATTATTATATTGGTAAGGAAATAAAAGTGACTTACCAAGCCACTAGAAGCTAGATTTTCTACTGTTAAGCCTCAGCTCTGATTCATAGCTCTCTGAGGAAAAAGGAAATGCAGAATTAACATCTATTGAATATCATACATGGGCCAGACACAGTGAAAGCTGCCAGGCACTGTCTTCTTCCCAAGCAGAGGTTAAGGGCTAGGCTCCTAGTTAGATTTCTTCAGCAGGAAATTGGTTCCATCTCTTACTACCTGTGTGACCTTAGACAGGTCACTTAAGTTCTCTGATTCCTAGTTTCTTCATGTATAAAATGTGGTTCATGAATGAACCTTCCTTACTGACAAGGATTAAGTGAGATAATACTTAAGACTTCACAGTGTTTGACACATAAATGTTGGCTCAATGAATATTGAATACAAAAAGAGGAAAAGAAACTTTATGTCATAGGGGTGCGGGGGATGAAGTAAGTGGGAGGAGATTTTATGCCTATTTTTACAAATGAGAAAAATTAGAGTTGGGTAAAATTCAGTAATTTGCCAACAAATTGCAAAACCAGAATGTGAAGTTTTATCTGTTTCAACCCAAACTTCAGGTTGTGTCTGCTATACCACAACGCCTTATAGAAAGGTTAAGAGGCTCAGGGAACTAGAAAGAATGCTGGGATCATCCGCTTGGAGAGCCGGCTACAGTGCTCATGCTGAGCTCTGAAAGCCTCCTGGCAGCTTCCCAGTAACTCTAGAAATCTACGAAGCTCTGAACTGGGTGCTGCTCAAGTGGCAGAAGCCAATGAGAATATTCAGGTGATAGTGCAAATATGACTCTAGGTTAAAGTCTGGAATGTAAAGTTGGCTTCCTTTAGCTAATTACCAGTCCATTCTCAAGGGCAGGTGCTATGTGTGCTCTCTTTCTGCACAGCTGACTTACCCCACGCCCAGAACTCTAAGAACTTGCTCTGTAAGACCTTGCTCTGTAAGAAATTGCTCTGTGTCAGCTCTGCCAATACTGTGACCTTGGGGAGGTCACTTAAGTCTTCAAGGCTGGTTTAGGACAAACGCTCAGGCCACACCTCCAACCAACCAACGCAGATTCTTACAGAATGAGACCCTGAAATATCTAATTTTTATGTAAACTTTTCACTGAAGTCAAGCTTACATCAGAAAAAAGAAAAGTACAAAGCCTGCAAGTGTACAGTTCCACTAATTTTCACAAAGTGAATACAGCCTCAAATCAAGTAATAGATCAAACCAGACCAGAAGACACCCTTCTAGGACCCCTATTAGTCACTCTTTCCCAAGATACCCACTATATATTCTTACTTCTAACATCATAGCTTACTTTTGCCTTTTTTTTTTTTTTTTTGCGGTACGCGGGCCTCTCACTGTTGCGGCCTCTCCCGTTGCGGAGCACAGGCTCCGGATGCGCATGCGCAGCGGCCATGGCTCACGGGCCCAGCCGCTCCGCGGCACGTGGGATCTTCCCAGACCGGGGCACGAACCCGTGTCCCCTGCATCGGCAGGCGGACTCTCAACCACTGCGCCACCAGGGAAGCCCCACTTTTGCCTGTTTTTGATATTTATATAAATGGAACCACACAGTGTATGTTCTTTTGTATCTGGCTTCTGTTACTCAACAGAATGTTTGTGAAATTCATCCATGTTATTGCATGTAGTTACAGTTTGTTTGTTCTTATTGCTATAGAGCAGGGGGTCAACCTCCTGTTTTGTGAATAAAGTTTTATTGAAGCACTGCCAGGCTAATTATTTGTTTTTCCTCCCCCTCCCCCTCCCCCCTCCTTCTTCTTCCTCTTCTTCTTCTGATGGCTTAGCAGTGGTGAAGTTTTATTATGATTTTTTGAGGAAACGTCAAGAGGAGAATGTAACAGAATTTTATAAAGGAATATTCTCAATTGAATCACATTCTATCAGGGTTTGGCAATACCTATCTGTGTGAAGATGAGATATATAAAATCTCAGTACAGATCAGCATTAGATGAACATTTGCTATTGATTTTGATCATACTTTGAACTTCAATGAAGCAAAATGTATACTCCCCAAAAGAATTTCATTCTTCATATTAATAGACCTATATTATCAGAAACTGTATTCAATTATTATTTTGTTTTGAATGGTATCAATTTTAAAATTGTGAAAACTGTTTCTCTGTTGTGATATAAGTACCTGCATCCTACATAATAGCCTCAGTTTTGATTTTTCTGGCCCACAAAGCCTAAATATCTACTGCATGGTCCTTTACAGAAAAAGTTTGCTTATCTCTGCTCTAGACAGTGCCCAGTACTAAAACTAAGTGTACACGCAGTAATTTCTTTTGCTTGTTTCTGAGTCTTGGATAATTTTTTTCCAACAGAGAGAAGCTCACAACTTTTCTCTTATGAAGGTTATGTTCTATACAGGGAAACCAGGCAATAAATAAAAATGGATAATAGATAAGGGAGTGCTATGATGAAAATAAGGTGATGTGATAAAGATGATGGGATAGAGTGATGGGGATGCAATTAGATTGGGTGGCCAGTGAAGGCATTACTGCGGAGGTACCTGAGAGTTAGGAATGATAAAAAGGGGCCAGATGGGCAAAGAGTTTGGGGCAGACTGTAGAAGCATTGGGAATAATAAGTGCAGAAATCTTAAGACAGGAATGAATTTGGTGCTTTTGAGGGAAATATTGAAGGCCAGTGTGGCTACGCCAAGATTAGAAGTGAGCTATAGTGAGAGGGCTGGCAGAGCCCAGGGCAGGTCTCCTGTCTGCCTCCTGCATGGATCATGAAGCCTTCAGGCTAATTTGTTTCTGTATTGTCTACAGCTGCTTTCACACAACAATGCCAGAGTTTAGTTGCCACAGAGACTGTTTGGCTGCCAAAGCTGAAAATATTTACTATCTGACACTTGACAGAAAAAAGTTGGCTGACCCCTGCTCTATAGTATCCAATCGCGAGTATACCAACATTTCTTTATCCATTTTACTTTCGATGGGCATTTGGATTGTTTCTAGTTTTGAGTTAATACAAATAGTGCCGCTGTGAACATTCTTGTACATGTTTTTGGTAGCATGTGTACATATTTCTATTGGATGTATGGCATGTGTATTTTTTGAAACCTCTGATCGATTCTAGTGTACAGACAGGTTTGGGCACTTCTACTTCAGAGATGTTTAGAAAGTTGAAACCCAAAGTGTTTAAACTGTCGTGCCCAAGGTTACACAGAAAATAACTGGCAGAGCTGAGACTGGCAACCAAACCCCTGTTTCATGGAACAGTGCTGTTTTTCCACTGTAGTTCCTATAGCCGTTATCTTTAGAACATTAACTTAGAAGGGTCTTTACTTACCCAAGGTCCTTCACAAATACGACTCTTTTCTACCATTTGTGGTTGTACCTTTTAAAGAACAGGAATGGATTATAGAAATCACTTAATCCAACCCCTTCATCTTATAAATAAGTAAACTGAGGCATAAGAATATTAATAATTCGCCCAAAACAGGCATTTGAATCATGACTTTTATCGTGTACTACAAAATGATTTTTAACTTGCTGTTGCATCTGCACTTGTCTTTACATTTAATACTATTCCAGTCAATTAACTGAAACAAGGAATGCCTATTTGCTTCAACTATTTAAATTTGCAGAAATATCTAAATTAAAACTCATAATTTCTCCCCCCCTTCCAGCTCTATGGCCTCTCCCCTGCTTCTAGGTGATCCATTTTAACAATTTGTATTTTCATCATCTACATATAAATATATTAAGATGCCTGTAACTGGTATGAGTCCACAACTTTGATGAGGAAGAAATATAACTTAAATTTTCTTTAACTCAAATTAATTTCTGGCTTGAGGTTCCATCCCAGCAGTTAGGTGGCCACTCAGTCTCAGTTAATTTGGAATAACCTCCTTTTTCCCTATAACTGGGCCTGCATTTCAGGGAGGGGGTTATGTAGGACCAAGAAATTGAGTGGGAGGGAGAACATGAACAGCATCTGATTCTTGGTAATCATAGTGATATCGATACTTCCTTCATCTGGGCCTTGGCCACTGGTTCCCACAAATGCATTGGCCCCTGTTGTCAGACCCTGTCAGGTGCGGTGGTTTCTGTGCTATGTCTGAGCCACGGCACTCTGTGCCAGGCCTTACCTGCCGGGCTCCCTACAGCCATTTCCTCTGCAGGCTCTTGCCAGCCTCCCTGGCCTCCACCTGGAAATTGAGTGCAGTTTCCTCTGGTCTTAGATCCCACCAGCCTAGCTGTAGTCTTCCAGTTGCTCAGGCTCCATCTGAGGCTTTTGGCATTGGGCCCCCTTCTTCCAGGCTCACCTCCACACTCACTGCTTTCCTTCCAATACACTCTCATCTCTCCCCAAGCTGGGAGCATCTCCTCTTCAACCTTTAATAAGCATCCTTGTACACGTGTTTTGTACACTTGTATTTTCATGTCTGTCATATACCTTTTTCCAGTCAGGCAGTGGGGAGACCCCTCTCTTCTCCAACCCTCAAATATTTGCAAGTTTGACTTTTCGGAAACCGGTTGCTAGGACGATTCTTCTGTCTGTTCATACCTCACTGGGAACAACACACCCGGAGCAGTCTAGGGGCCTGAATGGGAGTAATGGTAGAAGGGGGTAAAATGTGAACTAGTGGAAGAAAAAAAAAAAAAACATGGTTAATATCACAATCTTATCCTACTACAAAAGTGGGCACATCTGTAAAAGAATTATTTAGTTTTGCTTTTATTCTAAAATTGGCGTTATACAGTATATCAAACTGTAGCTTGTACTTTTTCACTGGATGTATCTTGGACAAATACGTGCACACAGATATGACTCGTTATTTTTAATACCTTCATAGTACAGTTTGTTCAATTATTCTCCTTGCTGATGGATATCCAGGTTGTTTTTGTTATTACAAATAATGATAGTATTAACTAATATTTATTTGGCATTAAAATATAGTAGACAATGTTTTAAGCACTTAACATGCATTCTACCGTTTAATCTCTATAAAAATTTCATGAGATATATCATACTTTGCCTTCTTTTTTTGCAGATAAGAAAATTGAGGCACAAAAGGATTGAATAACTTACAAGGTAAGTTATGGATTTGAATTTCACCGAGTCTAACTCTAGTGGCCGTGCTCTTAACCAACACACGGTTCTGCGTTTTTCCTTCAATGAGCACACCTGTATACAGGTTCATATAGTTTATTTTTGCTTCTGTCATATAACTACACAGAACTGAGATTGTAGGTAAGGTCTCTGCATTTTTATATTTTGACAAATGCTGGCAGATTACTTTGGGTTTGAAGCAATTTACAGAACCATCCCAAGTGTTCAAGAGTAAGGATTACCCCCGAGACTTACCAACAGTGGGTGTCAGGCCTTGTCTGAAGTTATTTCATGCTGGTAGGAACACTCTCCCTCCATCTCAAATGATGATCAGGTGTTTCAGTTTTCACTTCCGTGATTATTAACGTGGATGTCAAACATCTTTTCTTAGGTTTATTGGTCCTTCGTATTTCCTCTGCTGCAAATTGCCCGTTCACATCTGTCATTTTCTAATTAATTTGCAAGAGCTCTTTGTGTATTAGGGGTATTAAGCCACTGTCTTATAGGTACTGTAAATATTTTCTCTTACAAGATCATTTGTTTTCTTCTTTATACCACACAGTAGTTATACATGTTAATTTAATCGACTCTTTTCATTTTTTCCTTCATAAACTAGTTACATAGTACTCTATAGTATGAATAGTTTTTTAAAAATATAATATTATTTACCCTGTTTCCTATCTTGCTAAAGAAAGCTTTTCTCATTCCATAGCTATACAAATGTTTTCCTGATTTTTCTTCTAATATCTTTATAGTTTTTCATGTTTTATATTTGGTTCCTTAATACAGCTGGAATTTACTTTTGAATATTATAAGATAGGAGTTGATGTTATTTTCTTGCTAATAGGTAGCCAATTATCCCAGTTTTGTTTATCATATGTACTTTGAGTTGTATGTATAATGAATATTATACTTCCTCCCCCAATGACTTTCACTCCCAGATACACTTGGATCTACATCTGGACCCTATTCTTTTCTATTGACTTATCATTTTTAATACCAGTATCATTCCACTTTGATTCCAGTAACTTTAAAGTAGAGTTAGATATCTGTTAAATGAAGAACTCTCCCCCATTTCTGAAACAGACCTATAAAGTTCATTAGATACTTTTCTTCTCCAGATATTTAATAATATCTCAGTAGACCAGGATGCTACCTTCTTATAAACTGGTTTTCTCATGAATGAAGAAATGCAACTTTTTTAGGCAAATGAAGCTCCTTATGTCTGAAAATTTACACGATCTGACATTTTTCAAATTCTGTTATATAATATTATCAATGAATTGACCTTGAATTTGGATTAGAATTAGAATTTTCTCTCAGCTTTAGATGTTATCTAGAGTTCAGACAATTGAGAAATAAGCCAATAAGGGGAAAAAGTTAGCAAATTTATGACTGATAAAAATCATTATTTTGTTTGAATAGAAACAATTGAATTTAGCAATAATTTAACTGAAAAGTTAAATACTTATTACTCTTGTAATTCAATGTTTATTTTTGGTGTCCCTTCCCCTGTCCCCAATCTTTATCACTAATTTGCACCCAGCTTTAATTTTAAAAGCTTTTTATTCCAAGCTTCATTATGGATGTGAGAGAGCTAAAGTTTATGGGTTTTTTAATGCCAAGATCTTAACTAATTTTCCATCAATGTCCATGGGTGTGTTGGTTCTTGTGACTTTTGCCTAGGCTATTCCTGTTTGTAAATGTAGCTCCACAGGCATATTTCTCTAGCTCTATCTATGTTCAAGCAATCCAAATAGAACCGCCCTGTATGTAGTATATTACTAATTTATAACTGAAACTGGCACAACAATGATTCACGTGCTGTATGTAATATCTATTACTGCTTCCTACGAACTTTGAAAACATTTTTATTTTGGGAAGAATTCTGTCTGAATATCCACCACAGTGGATTTTTGCCCTCATTTCCGTAGTATTTATTTTCAGTGGCGTTTGTGAGACGATGAGGATCTATTTTGGTTAGGGACCCTATTCTCTTCCCAGAGGAGGAAGTGACAGCCCAGTGCTTTGTCTCCAGCTCCAAAGCTGTTAGACAGTTCAGACAGGGAGCTCTGTCAACCAGGCACCAGGAAGGCTTCTCTCTTCTGATGGAACAACTGAACAATTGTTACTATTTACAATGGGCCAAATGGAGAAGTATTCTTAGAACAATAAGAAAAGGGAAAGTCAGCCAGCAGACAGGAAAGAAGGCTTTCAAGCAACATCAAACTCAGAGACTGTGAATGTCTTTTAAATGTAAACAGTTTACCCATAGCACCTCTCCAAATAACAATACCAGGGGTGCTTGCCATGTGCAAGGCACTTGACTTACACTATTATCTCTAATCCCCTAACAGCCATACAAGACAAGTGTTAATCCAGTCTGACACAGAAAGAAACCGAGGCCAAAGAGCTTGTAATAACCACTCCATGGCCGGTAAATGTGGAATTCAAACCCAAATTTGTATAATACAGTTAAGATATCCCCATACTCTTACCTACCTTATTTTTAATTAAAAAATGCATGGAGATTTACAGTTCTTAATGGGTGAATCTATAATCTCCTTACAAAAAGCACCAGGTAGCACTGAGGGCTCCATTGATACTCTGAAATATGTTCTTTCTGAGTTTCTCTGAATACTGCAGAGGCAATGGGAATCAGAAGAAAACTTGCTAAATGCTGTGTGATATGACAGCCCCCTTTGTCACATACATAATTATTCCCTCTCTATCACTCTCAAACTCTGCAAACAACTCGTGGGATGAACTCTTATTCTGCTTACAGTAACTTCAAACCTTGAAGACAAGTGTGTAGATTAGATATCTATATTCACAATAACCATGATACTAATTTTTAACAGACCAGTTGGGTTATCTATGGCACAGGTATGATATATGCATCTGAAAAATAATCATGTTTTACAAGAGTTGGCCTTCTTTCCATTAGAGTTTTAACACTTCACTGAAAATTTCTATTAAATGCTAGATCAATGAAGCAAATCTTACCTTATTTGTAGATAATTTACAATAGGTGAGAGGAGAAAATAATGGATCTAAAAGTGAGATGCTGACTGGGTTGTTTTGCATATGTAGTAATATATGAGAAAAAATAAATAATTGATCTAAGAGCTATAATGGACCATGAAAAGTTGCTAGTTTTCTAGTTGCTTCAGATATAATGACGCAAATAATTTTATAGTTTTTTGCTAACTTTTTCTTTTGTTCCACTGGGCCCAATCTGTGCCTACTCTACATTTAGGTGGACAAAGGGGATGTTTGTGTGGTATTATTTAAAGCTCCCCTTCTCACTGACTAGTACCACGCTTTCATTCAAGATTTCCTTGTCCTCAGCTCCTGCAATGGCCTGCCACCATTTTTAGAAATATCCACTATGTAGAGGGGAAGGAAATTTCATGCTCCCACTAGCTCTTGTTGATAACATTTTCACGGATAGGTTAGTCATACATTAGTTACCATCACAGAAAGCAGGATTCTGGGCAAATAAATCAGACAAAGCAGCAGTGCACAAGACAGGTATGCGAAGTTAGGATGGTGAGAATAAGATGACTGGCATCTGGAACTCTGTCGAGGACACTGGACACTAAGAGGAGGATGGGGTGGAATGGATAAAGAATGATAAGAAAGAAAGCATTAAAAGAAAAATAATTCCCCCAAAGAGGAGGTAGAAGACTTACTCATCCTTTTGCCTAAGGTTCCCTGAAGTCTATGTTTGTTAAAATGAGCAATCTATAGGGCACAACAGACCTTGGCATGGCTGCCATTCCTACAGTCCTCCTCAGAGGGAAACTGCTGTAGCCACAGCACCTGCTGAGGAAGTTACTCTAGGAAGTTCCTCAGGCATAAGTGTCCACATTTGCTCCACATCAGCCTGCTTCCCACAGACAGTTGGAGCAGCGCGCATGCCTAACCCAAAGGCAGTAATCTAGTCAGACCAACAGCCTCCAAGGTGGTCTGACCTCTATGAATAATGGTGATTGCTTGCACAACCTACTTATTTTTACTTAAAAGAGCAATTGACAGACCAACTGTGGTTCTTCAGACTTCGGCATTTGGCAGACATTTTCTTGAAAATGAACAAAGTGTGTCTGTCATTTCAAAAAAGGACCTGGCAGTATGTGTTGTGAATGATAAAATTTAAAATTTGAAGTGAAAAATAGAGTTTTGGGAAACGTGTAGCTGCCATGTTGAGCTTGACCGCTTTCCAAAACTTAAACACTGTTTTTTAAATGCTGGTGAGATAGGTGATATTAACAAATGTGATTTCTTGGATACCGTGTAATGATGTGTCAACATTTACAAGATCTGCGTATCTCATTGAACTAAATTTTCCAGATGACCAATACTTAATATTACAAAAGCCACGAGTGAAATATTCATTTAAAGTGCAAGGTAGATACATGAATTTTTCTTTTTAGAATAGTGAATTTTAATGTAACTGAGTGAGCAAATTTCATTGATATGATTTCAAACTTCATGTTGCACCTAATCTTTAAGAAACCACCACTTGCTGAGTTCTGGTATTCTATCAAAGAAGAATATCCATAATCATCTGGAAAGGCTATTAAAATACTCCTCCTTTTTCCAAATACACATCTGTGTGAGGCCAGATATTCTTCACATACTTTAACCAAAATGGCATAATGCAACATATTGAATGCAGAAGCAGATATGAAAATCCAGCATTTTCTTTTAAGCCAGACGCTAAAGAGATCTACAAAAATGTACAATAAATGTATGCTTCTCCCTAATTATTTCCATTTCTGAATGTACAATTATTTGTCAGAAAATGTTATTTATGTTAACAGGTAATGAGTTGATTATTATTATTTTAAATGCATTAAAATATTTTTAAAACTTCTCAATTTTAATTTCTGATATAGTAAATAACGATTGATATAATCCACATAAACAAAACCTCTTTGGGTTCCTCACCAGTTTTTAGAAGGAAGCTTAAGACCAAAAAGTAGAAGCTACTGCTTTTGTTCCCATTCCTTCTTGAAAAAGGTAGGTAACTCTAAAGAGGAACTACATTTACGGTTTCATTGCAAAAGAAAAAAAAAATCAGATACAAAAAATTCAGAAATGTCCAAAGGGAATTTCTGTTTTTGAGACCAAAGTCCCAAGTTAAATATATGAAAAGTAAAATAGACAAAGACCCACACAACCAAAATACTTTCTTGGCATACTGATGGCTCGTTAGCTAGGAATCCAGCATAGCGTATGAACGCAAAGTCAGCTACTAGGTTACATTTAAACTAAGACAATAATTGCACAAACAGGTTTAATCATTGACAGTGCAAAAAAAGTCATCTATTTTGAATCAAGTGAGAGACTTTCATATTTTGAAAATACATTATTCTTTAATGCCACCAGATTTAGCCATTAAAAACTGGGTATTAAACAAAGATCTTATTTGCATTGCCTTATTCATATACAATATTCAGATAACAAAAACAAAGCTAAAACTTTTAAAGTCATGCACAAGCAACTGCTCACCATTTCTTCAGAGGCTTTGATAGCACAAGAAAGACTGTATTTTGGTGACGGTGGTAGTTTAAGTTTCAGTCAAATTCTGTCAATTACAATAAATTTCAACAATGACAGTCTCAATTGTTGAGCTTCCAGAATGTGTTTTGTCAAATATTAGCTTAAATAGGTTATTACCTCTGACTTAAAATACCTTCGTTATTAAGATTTTTGTATACATACTCATTATAATAAATATCTGATCTGTAGCTTTTTTGAGTTTTGGTGCAATATTGATTAATGTTTTTCACTAAGTAAGAAACAGGTGTATTTTAAAGAATACAGATACAGACCTGAGGTGCTGTCTTGCTGTTTTTATTATTGTAGTTATACTTCTTATACAAGTGAAAAACTGAAAAAAATTTACAAAGTAGCTACATTAACCAAATTCAATAAAATCTAAGTTAACTATGGTAGTTGAATCAATGATGTGGCTTTCCAGAAGTTAAACCACTGCTGGCAGCAAGCCCCGGCACTACTCTAGCAGAATTATTTTGGTTTGACATGAAGACACTACAGTGTTATTAAATGGTAAGATGGCTGTGTCCACTCACAGCTCTTTGTTTGAACCAAACTGCAGCAAAACCTTCCTAGGTACAGGATGCTGTGATTTCATTGTTCTTCACTCGCATTCCTATTAGCCAGAGCTCTTGAATTCATCGGGCACTGAATTCCCCTAATGGTACCAATTTTGACAGTGATCACCCAGATGATCCCACATTTGATCACATCAATTATTTTATTACCTTTAGAAATGAAAATGCAAGCCTTAAAAATTCTGTAGAGAACTTGAGTGACCTGCACTGTGTGACCTCAGAGTCCAGTTGAAGAAACGATGCTTCAGAGTAGAAAGCCTTGGCTGGAGCTGCAGGAAAGAGCCTGCCTGCAGAGGAGATAGGGATGACTTTATTCCTGAAATTGGAAATATACAAGCTTGTCAAAGCTTTCAGAGCTATCCTAATTGAAGGGCCGCAAGGTAGAGAAGTTGGGCCGCAAGGTAGAGAAGTTACTCAAGAGAAGGGCCTTTCTTTTTCTCGGGAAAGCTAAAATTTCCACATTGATTTCCACTTACCATTAAAAATAGGAAGTTTCCATGTCAAGAACACTTTTACTTGCAAATTTTATATAAAATTACTAGTGAGCATTTTTGGGCAACATTTGCCCCATTCTAAAATCTAAAGCAGAAGTCAACAAACTGTACCAACTGCGAGTGTAATTAAGCTCACTGTCTGTTTTTGTACAAGTGTGAGCTAAGAATGTTTTAAACATTTTAAGAGTATTGTCTTAAAAAACATAAAATAAAAAGGAAAAAATAAGCCAAATAATAAACAGAGAAGGTATGTGGTCTGCAAAATACAAAAGAGTTACTCTCTGACCCTTTACAGAAAAAGTTTTCTGTAAACCCCTACTCTAAAGAACTGCCTATTTTTTTTAAAGTAATATCAGTCTTGTCTTGGGGGAGGGGTTGATAGTATTCATATTCTGTCCTCTTTCTTCTCGATCCTCTTTCATCCTTTATCTTTGCCTCTCCTGTTATTAAATGAAAGGCTTTTAATATATTGCTATATATATTTGTTAAATAAATACTATCATTCAGTCCTTTATTTTAAAAACAGGTGAGAAGGCAATTTATATTAATCCTACTATTTTAAAAAAAAACACTAAAATGAAATAGTCCGCTTAAAATTTTTTTTCCTGTGGGACAGTAATCTTGAGAAAAAGAAAATGTGGGACTTCCCTGTTGGCGCAGTGATTGAGAGTCCGCCTGCCGATGCAGGGGACACGGGTTCGTGCCCTGGTCCAGGAAGATCCCACATGCCGCAGAGCGGCTGGGCCCGTGAGCCATGGCCACTGGGCCTGCGCGTCCGGAGCTTGTGCTCCGCAGCAGGAGAGTACACCTCTGCCCGCGTACCGCAAAAAAATTTTTAAAAAAGAAAAAAAAAAGAAAATGTGACCTATTTACCTTAAATGCAGTATTAAAGCAAAACTATTCCTTATAGTCTTCAATTTGTCCTCTCATTCTTTTTTTTACTAATAAAAATGTAGGTCACTGACGTTCCCTAAGTTTGGGAGTAACTTGAAAAATGTTTAACCCGAGCTCAGGGCTTCCCACGCGGAATAAGTAATTACTAGACCCGGTAAAGGACAACAGAACATGAACTTTGCTTTCTAAAGCTCTTTTCCCAGGAATTAAAGCATGAATAATATTTGTTCAGTAAAAATCTAAATGGATTAATACTCTCTAAGCCTGCAGAGAAATTCACTTTCAGAGCTGCAAAAAGGTTTATAAGCTTCATTAATAATCCATTTTAAGTATGATTAAGTGCTTAGAATATGTTTAAATACCCAAGAATTAGTTGTTTGATTAACTATTGTGTTCTCCTTTACCTGACTCAGAGAACACATTTAAATAGCTGAACAAATGTCATAATTACTCACTAAGGAAATAAAATGTGGTGGGTAAGTGTCTGGGTTCTATGTCATCTTCAATGGATTATTTAGGAAAGAACATTTGAAACTAAGTCCACAAGAATACGCACTGGGACACAGACTGCTGATGAGGGCATTTGGTCCTCAATTCCGAACTCGAAAGACTAAAGAGAATAATGTTTTCTTCCCTGAAGGCAGGTAGATGGGTACTTGCTAAGAGCTTCCTTAAGCAAGAAAGTTAGGATTCCTGCCGCGTTCTCCAGCCCCTCAGTCTCGGTTTCCTTCATTTCAGGAGTTATCCACAGGAAGTGAGAAAGAGCCACCAGAAGAGAGAGGCTGTGGAGCCCCCTTGGTTGTCTGAGGACTTGATCTACATTAATCTGTGTGCTGCCCGTGGGTCTAGGTGGTGAGCCCACCATAACCGGAGACATCTCACCTGTTAAGAAATGCTGGTCCAGAGCTTAACTCAAGAAGCCTTGGGGTCATTAGGGCTGCACCCAGCACGCCCCTGGCACATCACGCACACACCTCTTTGGACACTAACTGTTACCAGCAAACAGCTCTGTAAGGAGTTCGGAGGAGATCGTGCCCTCCAGGTCTCTGGAAAAAATGGTAAAGGTCTCTGAGGACACAGAGGGCACTGCCTTCCCAGCACCAGGAGAATCCTGCCCTACACCCTACAGTCCTTATCTGCAAACTCAAGGCGTGGTGTTCAGACCCCCGTGGTTGTGGGCAGCAGCCTTCCCAGAGTCGGGACTACAGTCTGCTTGCAACTGTTCTCCTGGGTGTCTCGCTGCTGCTCCACTCTTTCCCTGACCCCTCAGGCCAGCTTGGACCCAAGTCCTGACATGTCCACGTTCTCAGACTTTATCCCTCCAAGTATGCATGAGTCAGGGCAGCTGGGATCTCTGGATCTTAAAGCACCTCCTCCTGCACCACTCCCACCCCTACCGCCTGACCACACCTCCACCTTTGCCCCTGCTGGATCTTGAACTCTGGCGCTCTCAGAGCAGCCAGCCAGCTTGAAGTCTGAGCTTTGACCTGCGCCCTGTAATTCAACCTTGTCTCCTCCTCAGACTTAATGTTCCTACACTTGTTTTATGAACTTACCCTCCAGCTCTGAGCTCTAGCTCTGCCTTGGCTGGCCTGTTACCTGAGCCACAGAGCCAGGCTGGCAGAGTCCCTAAAGTCTCTTCATGCCTATTCCCCAGGTTTGCTGAAGCTATTTCTGTGCTTCCAGATTCCAAGGAATCTCCAAATATAGGACAAAAGTGGAAACTAAGGGAAAGAGAGTTAATAGGGAACACATTGTCCCAGTAAATTTCCGCTGTGAATGCTGGATGAGGAATTACAGAAAGGCAGTTTTTATATCACCATTGACAAGTATTCTTAAGGGAAGGTGAAGCTTGGGTGATAGAATGAGATAGATATTCACTGGAAGTAGAACAAGCCTGAATCGAAAGCTCATCTCTTTTACTGGGCTCCTTTCATGGATAAGAAGATGGAGGACCAAAAATATAAATTGACTTGACCAATATCACTCTAGTTAAAATAGAGCAAAGTTGGAACAAGAATCTTGCTTCCTTGTTGGGTACAGTATTCTCCACCTTCGTTCTTTCAACAAGCATCCATTGAGTATGTACTCAAGGCCATGTTATTACAATTTACCAATTCTTGGGTATATAATAGGTTTTAGAAAGATTCAAAATGAATATAACAAAAAGAGCCATTTTAAGGGACATTGATCTGGTAAAAAAAAAAAAAAGGAAATATATATTAAGGATTTTAAAGTAATCCAAGGTTATTTATGATTGTGTGGTAATAGAAGTATACATAATAAATAAATAGAAGTTTTCATGGGAATTCAGAAAGAAGAACCATCAAATTGGGCTGTGAGTCTCAAGGAAGACATGTTGGATGCTACAGAAATTAAACTGGGAGACAAAAGGTAGGATTTAGAACCTTTGAAAGGAGTGAGAAGGATTTTTAAGTAGGAGAAACTGAAGTTTTTTGTTGGGATTTAGAAGAAAAGGTTGTATTGTTTGTGTGGGGACAGATTATAGAAAACCTTGGGAAAAACCCATCAAAAGTGTTCAGGGGCTTCCCTGGTGGCGCAGTGGTTGAGAGTCCACCTGCCGATGCAGGGGACACGGGTTCGTGCCCCGGTCCGGGAAGATCCCACATGTCGCGGAGCGGCTGGGCCCATGAGCCATGGCCACTGAGCCTGCGCATCCAGAGCCTGTGCTCCGCAACGGGAGAGGCCACAACAGTGAGAGGCCCACATACCACACACACACAAAAAAAATCAAAAATAAAATAAAATTCCAAAAAAAGCAAAAATTAATTAAAATGGTTGTTATAATTTCATCAGAGCAAATGTCCAATACCATTATATCTGCCATGAAGGTCATTGTACTGCAAAAATGATTTTTTGTGATATTTATAAGAAACTAAAATCTATTTTCATTAGTTCCAGCTTTTATTCCATTAACTGATATTCCATGTGATGCTTTTCCACAAGAGCCAAAGCAAAAATGATCTATGCAGAAGACATTGTTGTTATTGTAGTAATTGTCTCCACTAAGGATTAAAATGCTCACTATTTTACCTATAGTTTTGGGGAGAGATCAGTATTTTACACAAAAACAGTTTTGGCCACAAATTAATTTTTCTTGTGCCTTGCTTTTTTTAAACTAAATACCTTCTGACTGAAAATTGTTTCTCCATAATAATTGGTAATAATAAAATAAATGCATATTGGAAGATTTTCCACAAAGGTTGTCTCAGTATATTCTCATAAAGTCTTGTGAGGTAGCAATTACTGTTTTATTTTTTGATGGGTCAGGATATTGAAATCCAAATGAATTAAAAGTCTTTTTAATTCCTATAACAAGTCAATGGAAAACCCATATTTTGTGTTCATGGCTGGCTTCCCAGTACATTGTTCTTTTCATCAGCCTTATATATCATGTGTTGATTGCAATGGAGCAATGATTGAAAGTCCCCATAAAGGTTACCTTAAAATTGTTTTATTGTTTCAGCCAAAGTATTTTGTCATAGTCAAATGTGGTGATCTGTACTCTTGTGTTTACTCTACACTGGTCCACCAGCGCTTTGCTTGGCACAGTTTTAAAGCTCTCACTTATAAGTGGAAACATATGCCCTCCCTCATCTCCTGTGTCCGCTCTCCCCTCATCCAGTATCCTCCCTCTCACCCGGATGCTGCCACATCTAATGAGCTTACAATTATTTTTAAACTTCTTTCCATGAGGTGGTATCTGCATACCAGCTGGGGGGAGACAATGTAATCCATCTTGCAGAAGTTAAACCATGGGTTATGTGAAGAGCAGGAGGTGGTAAGAAGGGGATATTTGATGAAACTCTCCATAGAAATGTCAAACTCCATGTCACATTTCTATCTGACTCCAGATTTCAAAATGTTTGTGCTAGTACCAATCAGTGGAATCATTTCAAGTTCGGAGAAATATTTCTCCCAGATTAACAAAGAAAGATAGAGAGAGAGTGAGAGCAAGAGAGAGAGAAATGGAGGGAGAGAGAAAAAACAGAGGAATGGAGGAAGGAAAGAGAAGCAAAGAAAAAGATGAAGAAAAAAAAAGCAAAGAAAAAGAAAAGAAAAAGGGGGGGCAGGGCTTTTTGTGCATGCATGTTTTCCTACTCAAAAAAAAAATAATAATGGCTTAGCTAATTTGATTCATTTGGCCAGTGAAGATGGTTTTGGTTAGAGAACAATAAATTTCATCTGGCCAGTGGCCTTAATTTGCAAATTCCCATCAGAGGTTATTAATGGGTAAACAATGCTATGACCAAAGAACTAGACAAGGGTATATACATATCCCTGTTGAAGAACAACAGAATCACATGTGAAAGAACAATTTGGATAATAGTCCAGTACCATGTAGTTGTTAGGAGCTATTGCCTGAGGTTTCCACTTGAGGTAAGGAAGGAACATTACATGGCCCTGCCATGGCCATGGCGTTCTCATCTCAGTAAGCGTCCCCACCAGCTACTTCAGTCCAAGCCTGGGACCCGTCAATGCTTTATACTTTCCTCTCAAAAGAAAAACACCAGGAAAGGGATCTAAGAGAAAGAAATCTCCTGACTAATTGGAAGGTGGGCGGGTATGCTAACCAGTCCTCTTCATCTCTCTCATCTTTCTTTGCTGCAGCTGTCTTACTTTAAGCACCCATTTTGTTGTGCCAGTATAATTCCAACAGTAGCTTGACTCTTCCTTTCTCTCTAATCCAGCTACCATGCTCTTTCCAAAGCCCAAATAAAATCCTTTCGCTAAAAGAACTTAAAATCCTTGAATGCCCTGCCCTTGCCTCAGGATAAAATTGAAAGGCCTTCACCAAGAATGCAGGACCTTTTATGAGTCAACCCTTACTTAATTGTCAAGTATCCACTTCACATTCTTTCGTCCCTCAAACTGCCCATTGAACAAACTTCCATGTGGTTCCAGAAAAGGCCACACTGTGTCATGATGCCCTGTCTGTGCACTAGCTCTCCTTTGGAAGGGTCCTCTCCCCTGCTATTTCACCTGGCTGGCTTGCTGCTGACCTCATCTCTTTCGACATGTCTCCCTGCCCCAGCCCACCTCCTGGTGTCAGAATCTGTTTTAGGTATCCCTCCGGAGGCTCACTCCCATCTCACGATCTACTTTCCCTTATCACGGCAGCTATCAGAATTTGTTCGCTTTTCTGTGTCCACACTAGATTTTTAATTCCTTCCTAGCAGGCACCTAACACATTCCTGGCGCAGATAGATGCTCAGTTCAGTAAATCCTTGTTTAATGACTTAAAGAATTAATGAATTAACAAACCACCTGGTAACCAAAAGAAATGAAGAGGAGACAAGGATATGAAGTTTGGGATGGGCGGTAGTGGTGGTAGAGTTGTTTCTCTGCAGTGTTACCTAAACTGGATAAAATGGCAAGAGTCCAGAACTGGACCTGGTTCTAGTCTAACTTTGACACTAACAGTGCACCTTTGGGTGGGTCTCTAAACCTCAGTTAACTTTTCTATGTATAATATGAACCTCATATGTTTTTTGGTATGTGTGTGTGAGGATAAATAAAATATCACAATACCATGTTTACAATATTTGCTAGAACATACTAACAATCTAATAATTAAAAATCTAATAATTGAGAATATAATAAATAATAACTACAGTCCCTTGAAATTTTTCTCTGATCCTACTGAAGTCAACCCATTCAAATCAACAATGAAAGAGCTTTAGACTAGTGATTTAAGATAACAAATTATCAATTAAGCAAACAAAAACTTCTTGTACAGGAGAGGGCAGACAGCAGAAGCAAGAAGAACTACAATCCTACAGCCTGTGAAGCAAAAAGCACATTTGCAGAAAGATAGACAAGATGAAAAGGCAGAGGGCTATGTACCAGATGAAGGAACAAGATAAAACCCCAGAAAAACAACTAAATGAAGTGGAGATAGGCAACCTTCCAGAAAAAGAATTCAGAATAATGATAATGAAGATGATAAGAACCTCAGAAAAAGAATGGAGGCAAAGATCGAAAAAACACAAGAAATGTTTAAGAAAGACCTAGAAGAATTAAAGAACAGACAAACAGAGGTGAACAATACAATAACTGAAATGAAAACTACACTAAAAGGAATCAATAACAGAATAACTGAGGCAGAAGAACAGATAAGTGAGCTGGAAGACAGAATGGTGGAATTCACTGCTTCAGAATAGAATAAAGAAAAAAGAATGAAAAGAAATGAAGACAGCCTAAGAGACCTCTGGGACAACATTAAACACAACAACATTTGCATTATATGGGTCCGAGAAGGAAAAGGGAGAGAGAAAGGACCCGAGAAAATATTTGAAGAGATTATAGTCAAAAACTTCCCTAACATGGGAAAGGAAATAGCCACCCAAGTCCAGGAAGTGCAGTGAGTCCCAGGCAGGATAAACCCAAGGAGAAACACGCCAAGACACATAGAAATCAAATTGACAAAAATTAAAGACAAAGAAAAAGTATTAAAAGCAACAAGGGACAAATGACAAATAACATACAGGGAACTCCCATAGGGTTAACAGCTGATTTCTCAGCAGAAACTCTACAAGCCAGAAGGGAGTGGCACAATATATCTAAGGTGATGAAAGGGAAGAACCTACAACCAAGATTACTCTACCCGGCAAGGGTCTCATTCAGATTCGATGGAGAAATCAAAAGCTTTACAGACAAGCAAAAGTCAAGAGAATTCAGCACCACTGAACCAGCTCTACAACAAATGCAAGAGAAGAAAAGGGCCTACAAAAGCAAACCCAAAACAATTAAGAAAATGGTAATAGGAACATACATATCCATAATTACCTTAAACGGGAATGGATTAAATGTTCCAACCAAAAGACACAGGCTTGCTGAATGGATAAAAAAGCAAGACCCATATATATGCTGTCTACAAGAGACCCACTTCAGACCTAGGGACACATACAGACTGAAAGTGAGGGGATGGAAAAAGATATTCCATGCAAATGGAAATCAAAAGAAAGCTGGAGTAGCAATACTAATATCAGATAAAATAGACTTTAAAATAAAGAATTCTACAAGAGACAAGGAAGGACACTACATAATGATCAAGGGATCAATTCAAGAAGAAGATATAACAATTATAAATATATATGCCTCAGACATAGGAGCACCTCAATACATAAGACAACTGCTAACAGCTATAGAAGAGGAAATTGGGGAAGGGGATTAAGAGGTACAAACTACTATGTATAAAATAAGCTACAAGGATATATTGTACAACATGGGGAATATAGCCAATGTTTTATAGTAACTATAAATAGAGTACAACCTTTAAAAACTGTGAATCACTATACTGTACACTTGTAACTTATATAATATTGTACATCAACTACACTTCAATAGAAAAAAAATTAAAAAGAAACTATTGACAAAAAAAAAAAAAGAGGAAATCGACAGTAACACAAAAATAGTGGGAGATTTTAACACCTCACTTACACCAATGGACAGATCATCCAAAATGAAAATAAATAAAGAAAGAGAAGCTTAAAATGACACGATAGACCAGATAGATTTAATTGATATTTATAGGACATTCCATCCAAACCCAGCAGATTACACTTTCTTCTCAAGTGTGCATGGAACATTCTCCAGGATAGATCACATCTTGGGT